GAAGCAGACTACCACATCCTCCATGGGGCAACTGGTGAGTTCGAGCCACTGGCCTTTGGTTAGCAGCTGAATTCAAAATTTAAGTTAAATTCTCAATAAACTAAATCTAGAAAGAGCAGAACTGCTTCTTCCAGAGAGATCACAGAAATAATATTAAAGTAAAACATTTCAATGCTGGCTACCCAATGGTAGACCCTGTGCACAGATGTCCTTCTTCCAAAAGTCAAGGAGACAGTCACAACTTCTAAGTCTGTTTTCTAATCTGAACAAGAGAGATAGGCACCTTATCTAAGTAGTTTTGAGAGTCTAATGAGAGTATACACATGAAACTGCTTTTGTAAATTGGTAAATGCCACACCAGTCAGAATTAAGTATTTTGTAACACACAACTCACTCACTGACTTTAGAGATGTACTCTCAGAGTCCCACCTTATTACAATTCAGGACATTACAGATGATTCAAAGTCAGGCATTCTAGAGCTTGAATCACTTAAAGGCAATTTACTTAAGGTTCTAATTCTTAATATATACCAAAATACATACTCTCTAGTAAAATTATATTCACAGCAACTTCTAAGGTGGTGGAGTTGTTCACTTCAGATTATACACTTTATCAATACTTCCATAGTAAGCATAAATAAGTTACAACTTCTACATAGTTTAAGACTTACTTAAGGGATTTGTTCCTTATCTATCAGAAAAACTCTTTATGTTATCTAACGAATTAAAAAAAATTTTTTTTAAATAACTAAACACTTACTTTTGCTGCACAGGTTTGCACACAATGCTGTGTGCTGACCAGTCTCTCCTCTGACAGGCAATGGAGCAATAGTACGTTTGCTTGCACTGGGAACACCTCAACGATCCTACAGAACATAACCCATAACATCATGATCCAATTATCAGTCCCAATATTTACTGCCAAGAGCAAAAGGTGTTCAATGACCGGCCATTCAAACACCATTCTGTTGGTCACATCCAAAAAGACTATGTGAAGAGAATTGCATTCTTCATGATTAGGTGCTTTTGTAAGACCTTGGAAGAGAACAGAATCAGTATTAGGATTAAACTTTTAAAGGTCTCTCAAAACACAAGGAAAGAGGAAAATGAGAGGGATATTGTTGGGTAGGGAGGACAGACTCAAGACAACATAACTGATATTTGTAAAATACAACCCAAAACACATGTTACAAAGGGAACAACCAGTCACTGGACCCCTGTACTTCACACTATGTATAAAAATCAACTTAAAATGGATCAATGCCCCAAATATAAGAGTTAAAGCCATAAGACTCTTAGAAGAAAATATAGGGGTACATCTTCATGACCTTGGATTTCATAACAGATTCTTAGATAAAACACCAAAAACACAAGCAACAAAAGGAAAAAATAAATTGGACTTCCTCTAAATTAAAAATTTCTGTACATCAAAGAACATTATCAAGAAAGTAAAACTACTACCTAAAGAATAGGAGAAAATATTTGCAAAACATGTATCTGACAAGAGTTTAATACCGAGAATACATAAGGAACTCCTACAACTCAACTACAAAAACTCCAAAAACCAAACTCACTGCCTTCGAGTCGCATCTGACTCAAGCAACCCCTCCTTGGGTTTCTGAGGTGGCATCACTATGGAAGTAGATCGCCCAATCTTCCTTCCAAGGCTAGTGGGTTTGAACCGCCATCTTCCTGGTTAGCAGTCAAATGCCTTAGGCACTACAGCACTACACTACCAGAGCTCCTTAACAATGAAAGAACAACCCAATTAAAAAATAATTCTTAAATAGACCATTCCCTAAAGATACACAACACTAACTGCATAAAAGGATGCTCAGCTTCATTAGCTACCAGGGAAATGCAAATCAAAACCACACTGAGGGATACCACTTCACACCAACTAGGATGGACTACCAAGAAAAAAGAAAATACCAAGTGCTGGTGAGGATGTGGAAAACTGGAACACTTATGCATTCCTGGTGAGAATGTAAAATGGTGTAGTCACCATGGAAAACAGTTCAGTGGTTCCTCAAAAAGTCCAACATAGAATTATCTTATGAGCTAGCAATTCCACTCCTAGGCATATATCCCAAAAAAAGTGAAAGCAGGGACTCAAACAGGTGCTTGTATACCCATGGTCATTGGAGTTTTATTCCCCATAGCCAAAAGACTGAAACAACCAAATGTCTACCAACAGAGGAAAGGATGAACAACATGTGGTATACACACAATGGAGCACCATTCAGTCAGAGAGAGAAATGAAGTCCTGATACACGCTATGATATGGATGAACCTTGAGTGAAATAAAGCCAGGTGCAAAAGGACAGGTATCGTGTGATTCCACTTACATGAAATTTCTAAAACAAACAGATGTGTTCAGACAAAAAGTAGATCAAAAGTTCGCAGGGAC